AAGGGTTAAGATCCCCTTACCAGTCATCTTTAAATAAATAAATAAGTACATACATACATACATAAAAACTAAATTCACTAATTAATTAAAAAATTAAAAATTAACAACTTAATGGCTCCGATCTATACAGCTGGATGATGGGGATAATAGCGCCTGCCTTACAAAGTTATTCGAGGATTAAGCAAGATGATGCTTATAAAAGTGTAGCACTGTTCTAGGTAGGCTGTAAAAAAAGTGTCACCAGAAGTAAAAAATGAGTGAAGTAAAATTATACAGTTATAAGTAGCAGGCTGTTCATTAATATATATATACCAGAGTTCTCCTAAATTGTTGCTACCAATTATATGGTATGAATGTGTAAAAAGGATGACGTACTGAAAAATAATGGGTCTACAGATCCTTATTAGAGCTTCTCTGTAATGAAAAACTGTATGTGTTTTTATGTTTTATCTAATTTCTTTGCCCATTTAGCTGTGTCATTTACTCCACACTTCACCTCTTTCCATACATTTTGGTTATTTTGTTCACAATGTTGGGTAAAGGGGTTAAGTTGTGACAAGAAAATTATATATTTTCACAGTCGATTAATTGCATCAAGTATTATATGGATTTCTGCCCAGTGTTGTAATATAGAAATTTGGTATTTCTCTTTAGATTGTTTAAGTAAATATGGACATAGAATGAAATTTAAAATAGGCCTCCCTTCAGAGAGAAGACCTCCTCTGAAAAAAATAAGCAAAATATTATGCCTATACCTTTCCCCTGTGCTTGAAATGAAACTTGCCAACCGGTGGACTTTTTTGGAGAATGAGCAGTCAAGGACAAGGCTCTTTTGTCAGAGTATCCCCCAATGTCAGTCTCTGAAGATCTTTTCCATGTGGCTACTCCGTTTCCCTAGAGAGGAATCCCGTGTTCTCTGGCCTGGAAGGTGGTGGGAGGAGGACAGAGCTGGCTGCTTGGCTACAGGGACAGAAGTAGCCTGGGAAAGTCTCAGCCTTTGTGAGCAACGTCTCTCCCCTCCCCAGTGCTCCTGCTGCTTTACCACCTGGAGCTTCTCTGGCTCAATCTCAACAGAAACTGATGGGTGGGAGAAGCAGCATTCCCCTGGCCATGCAAGGTTTAGGTGAGGATCAGCCCCTCACCTCCACCCTGCCTTCCCAGCTAGCCAGTGACTCCGGTCCTGGTCCTGCACCCATCGGTGGCCTGCGATGCGACTGAGCTTGCTTCTCACGGTGCTCCCCTCTGCTGCTGCCTGTCATTCAGCAAGAGCAGCTCTGCCACCTCCCGCACGTGCTTTCATCACTTACAAACCTGTTGACATCGTAGGCCAGGTGTTTTTCCTCTCTCTTCCTCTTTGACTTTGTCAATTCAAATCTTTACATATTTTCTTTACTCCTTGTTTTAGTAGGATTTTGTGAGAAAGAAAACTCAATCCAACCCAAAGTCCCTGACTCCTTCTTAACACCTATTTTCACAAACACTTAGCCTGTTGTTTTCCAATAGAGGAGGAAAGTATGTCAGTACAAACAGACTGTAGTTTTTGGCAAGTAAATCACATTTTCCCCTCCGAGGATTTTGTCTCCTGGGGAATAATTTCCGCAGAGGCAACAACTCAACTTTTATTGGGGTCACCACAATGAGTTTAATTCTAGGGATACAATTAGCAAGGTGTGGCCTTTGCCTTCAAAAATCTTATTCTAAGCAAAATAGCAGGGACAAAGGGAAGCGGTTGAAGAAAGACAAGTAAAAAACTTGCCAAACAGTAATTCCATCATCTGGCACAGTTCCTGGAACGTATTATGCACACAAACAATGCTTGCCGAGTGCATAAATGCTACAGTGGTCTGTAAATGTAGTATTATGAGAATCACAGCGGAGGAAGTAATTAATTTTGTCTTGAGACGTGGTCTGGGTAAGTCTAGTTTTATATCAATTACGTATGGTTTCATGGATACTTTAGTTATATAATCTTAAATTTCCATTCTAATATTTATTTTCATTTCTTCCCCCAAACACTCTCTTGCTGAGGCAACTACATTTTATTCTTCCACTGCACCTAGCATAGTGCTGAGCTGAAAGCTGTTGATCAATAAACGCTTGCTGATGCTACCGTTCCGTCGGACTGCTTCTGCTTTAGTGCAGCTGTCTCCTCTTCTGCTAAGTTAACCTAGTGTCCTTCGGGAGGAGTGCGTAACTCAGGGGCAACTAAATCACAGCCATATTCAGGAGTGAGAGTGACGTCCATTGGAGAAGGCCAAGCAGCAGGGCCTCCATAGCTCTATGCAGCCTGTGTCCCTGCATATAGCAGGAGAAGCAGTGGACGGGGCCCTGGAGAGCACTGCCAAGGGGCATGGGCCTTCGAGGGGGCACGACCTCAGCATAATTGTCAGGTTTTTCATATGTGTGATCTTAGGGAAGCAACTTAATGGCTCCGATCTATACAGCTGGATGATGGGGATAATAGCGCCTGCCTTACAAAGTTATTCGAGGATTAAGCAAGATGATGCTTATAAAAGTGTAGCACTGTTCTAGGTAGGCTGTAAAAAAAGTGTCACCAGAAGTAAAAAATGAGTGAAGTAAAATTATACAGTTATAAGTAGCAGGCTGTTCATTACTCTCTGTAATGCACAAATTTCACATATTCTAAACATTCACATTGTATTTTGCAATGCTTCCCAAGATGGCCTTCCCACACCATCATTGGTTTTTTTGACCCCAGAAGGACTGAGAATTACCTACTCTGTGGGCATAGTTTTTTTTTTTTAAAAGATGACCGGTAAGGGGATCTTAACCCTTGACTTGGTGCTGTCAGCACCACGCTCACCATCCCTATATGGGATCCGAATCTGTGGCCTTGGTATTATCAGCACCACACTCTCCCGAGTGAGCCACGGGCCGGCCCAGCATAGATTTTTTTAAAAATTATGTATTCAGTGCTTAAATCATTGTTTCCCAAACTTTGCTGAACATTGAGATCAACTGGGGTCTTTAAAAAATTCCAAACCCCAATTGTCACCTGTAGACCATTTGATTTAATCCTTGGGTGTGGAGATTTTCTTAAAAAGTTCCTCGAGTGACTCTAATGAGCAGCAAACTTTAGGAACCACTTCTTAATTACATAAAAGTTGAGAAAGTGATACATGAAAGGACTAGTGATAATGGGTTCTATAAGAATAAAAATGGGCTAAAAATAAATAATCCAGTTCATTCCAGTTCTTTTTTAGCAGAAGTCATCAGTATAAAATTGTCAAGCTCTCTTACCTGCCCGTAATCCTGCTGACTGGGCCATTTGTTGAGCTCCTTTACTTGTCCATAATCCTGCTGACTGGGCCAATTGTGAAGCTAGGACTGGGTCTGGAGCTCACAGACCCCTCAAGCCCATTGGCCAGACTGGGTCACAAACCCTTCACATGCGAGGCTGGGTCACCAGACCCCTCTCACACAGGTCTATGAGCTAGGTAACCAGCAAACAGGTCCTTGGAAGCTGTAGGTTGGAAAGCATGGCTGTGTAGAGCAGACACCCACCTGAGCCAGTCCAGCCAAAGTGGCAGCACCAAGCTTGTGTACCACCTCAACCCACACACACACAATTTGTTTACTGAACCACCCCCAACTGGCCCTGAGGCAAGGGACCCGACTAAACCATTCTATTTTCCAAACAAAAATTCATTTAAAGATTATGCAGATGTTTTCTGTTTTTCTAGGCTCCTTACCTGCTACAGTTTATGAAAACTCACAGCTATGGCAGCACAGAGAAGCTATTTTGAGTATGAGCAAAATTTTTCTTCAAGACTCACAACTTCAAGATTGATTTAAAAAAATAATCTCAAGAAGTGGCAATGTTAATTTTCTTCCATGACTTTAAGCAGAGCTTAAAGTTTTATATTATCTTGATAGATTGCCTATACATCAAGACATTGAGAAAAACAATGCACATCACTTCTATTTGTTAAAATTTTCTGTCTGGCTAGGCTAAGGCCTGGAATCCTCACAGTGCCAATTGTCTAGCTCTTGTTCATGATGCCAATTGTAAAGCTACTCAACCACAACTATGCCAGTTGTGGTGCTCTTTTACCTGCTGGTAATCCTGCACCGACTGAGCCAATTGTTGAGCTAAGGCTGGGTCTGGAGCCCACAGACCCCTCAAGCCTGTTCACAGACTGGGTCACAAACCCTTCACATGCCAGGCTGGGTCACCAGACCCCTTACAGGCAGGTCTATGAGCTAGGTAACTGGCCAAAAGTTCCTTGGAAGCCGTAGGTTTGAAAGCATGGCTGCACAGGACAGAAGTCCCAGGCCGATGCCCGCCCACCTGCTTCACTAAAACTCCTCTCTCTCTGAAGAACACAAGAATCGCAACAAAACTAAACAGATACATTGGCATGCACGTGAACTAACTACACAACACACACACAATTTGCTTACAAAGGATGCTGAACCGCACCCAACTGGACCCTAGGCGAGGGCCCTGACCAAACCATTCTACTTTCCCAACACCTTCTTTTTTTCCTTTTAAAATAAACGCGGTCTTCCATATACAAAATAAGTTACTATTCATTTAGTATTTACCTTATGCCAGGCTAACAAAATATTATCTCAAAATTTCCATAGTGCAATTATTTTCACTTTACAATCAAGAGTATTTTAGCACGTTGCCTAATTTCACACAACTAGGAAATGATTCAACCTAGGTCTTTCTGCATATGAAGCCTGTGCCTTTTCTACACCATTGTACAAGCAGCACATTAGGAACACTAAAAGAGCTTGAGTCTTTCCTCTGTTTTTGTAATTAAACAGGTTCAATTCTATTGAAGGTAACACTCAGCATCATTCTATATGACAGAAGGCTGAGAAAGTCCAGGAGAATTTCCTTGGAGACTCAAATTAAGAATGGTCTGGGGCTTCATCCAACTTCCTAGAGCTACTTGAGTCTAACCCAACTCTGGTCTCATGAAAAATTCAAAGCTGATAAGTTTATAAAATTCTTTTGGTTCTTGCAGTTCTTTCAATGGGGAAAATGGAGAAGATGTTCCGTTTTATCCTTGTCTCCACTGCTCTGATAATGGGCAGGGAAAGCTGGGTAAGTTTATTGTGAAAACTATTATAGTATTTATAATGTCTGCTTTGCCCTGAATTTTTTTTTTTTTTTTTTTTTTTTTTGCCAGTTTTGCAGAAAACCTATAGAAACATGTCATTGAAAATACTTAACATAAAGGGGTGGGGGAAGAAAAAAGCACCTGGCACATAGTAGCACTTACCAGTACTTAAAAAAAAACTTTTTAAAGTAAAAAATCAGTATTTACAACAAATAAGTAAAATCTTCTTAAATTCACTGTGGTTATTTCATTGGTTACATAATGTTAGAAATTGAAAATTGTCCACAGTAATTAAAATTGGCCTTGGGCTTTCCAATATGAACACTACTAGTGTAAATTAATAAGATTATTTGAAAGTAACTACAATGAACTCTGTTTTCTTCCATTCATGAGTAAAAAGAAAAAATACTCATTTATTCAAAGCTTTGGGAGAAAGAAAACTCCTAAGTTACTTAAACAATAAGCTTACTAAAAGTTACTGAATTAGGCTCTTCTCAATTTTATAGAAATGAACAAAGTACCCAGCAGAATTTAAGGCAAGCTACGCTTTGTTAAAAATAGATAGACTTATGTATGAAGGAATCAGAAACAGAAAAGCTGTCTACCCCCAGAGAAGGTGGGGAAGGGTTTTTAAATCCAAGCAATTCCTCAATTGTGATGATTTCTGATATCTTTATGCTGGTTGAGAGGGGGGTCAGTTCCAGGAACATCCTGCGTGCAACTCCCAAAGGGGTCTTAAGGTTAATGTGTAACTTAATTTTTACAATTACAGGAAAATAAAGAATAGGGAGGTAATGATTAAGTTGTAAATAAAGCTAACAGTTATATTTTAACAAGCCTTGGGGAAGGGGTTTTGCAACTCAGTGAAATCTGTTCCCCTCTTATCTCAGTTTATTTTATCAAGGTGTGCCATGGGGTAATCATGTGCCCTGGGGGTCTCATGACTGAGGAGGGGAAAAGTAACAAAGTGCCCTCTGCAAGGAAAATGGAGTCAGTGTGGGTCAGAGGCCTAGCCCTATTCTGTTTCAAAATGGTATATACGGTCTCATAAAGATTGGGCATACTTGGCCTGTAATCCTTTCAATTGTTTTTAAGTTGCATAGTCCACTATACTTAACAATATCACAGCCAATATCCTACTATTGGAAAGCAACACAGGATTCCAGACATCATAAAATATTCTTTCTGTTCATTTTTTAGCCTGTATGACTCAAGGGGCTAAGCAAATAACTCTCTCAGGATAAATCGAAGACTGACTAGGAGGGATTACCAAGAGCAATTTACAAGAAATAATCCTAGAGAAATAGCTGGGAGCAATGTGGTGATTTGGACCTAGAGGTGGAAGGGAGGAGTCTCTACCATGCTTCTCCATTGCTCTGTGACTTTTGCCATTTTGAGGCTGAATTTCTGTGCTCCTGAAATTTATAGTCTGAATTACATAGAAAGGCAGTATACCCTTTTCCTTTGCCAAAAATAGGATATCTAATTTTGCTGTTTTGACTGTCTTGCAGAGTGCCTGGAACACAGTAGGTCGTCATATTTATCGAATAAATACAAGGTAGTACTTAAAGATAGGAACAGAAAGTTATGCAAACATAAATTGGCAAACATATCTGTCTATAATTGAATGATTATTTTAAGAAATAATTTGTATAAAGATAGTAAAAGGCAATTATATATTAAAATTAATAATTTCTCAGAAGTACACATTTATACTTATCCCAGGAGATCATGACATGAGTTGCAAATAGAAATGTCAAGTTACACATTTGTCTTGAGCTTTCTTTTCATTACTCCTAGGGACTCTCCTGGAACCGAGTACTCAGGAGCCTTTGTTGCAGCTGCTTGGCCTCAGTAGCTCTTCTAAGAAACCCACCTCTGCAACTTTCCCTAGTTCACCTACTGAATTTGCTGTATCTTTAGAGTTCTGATCAGTCAGATGCCCCATTAGAAAGGAGCTGACGTGTTATAACACCAAGGTCAAGGGTTTGGTGGGTGAGGAGCTGGTAAATTCTTTCACATGCAGTATTCTAAGGTTATTTGCCTTTTAAGAGAAGATGAATGACTTAGGCTGCACCCCTTTTTGAAGAAGCTGAGGGGAAAAATAACGAACAAAAAGTTAAAGTGACTCCAGTAGAATTTCCATCAACAGATAAAGAGGATAAGATACTCAGGGATATGAGGGTCTAAAACAGCATCCCTTATAAAGATGCCATATGTCATCAGATTACACGCATTAAATTATATTTTTGGAATACTTATACCAGAAGGTCATTCAAAAACCTTATTTATTTTGGAAGTTGACATACTAATGATACAATTAACTTCTGTAAAGCACTTTACTGTTTAGAAACACATTGGTGGCATCATGCAGAGATTCAGAGCCAGTCCTTGAACTGAATTTGAATCCAGATTCCTTTTAACCACTAGGTATTCATGAGGGAGTCTCATCAGGATTAAGCCCATTCCTACCTTATGGAATGGTTATGAGGATCAAATGAGACAACGACTATAAAGCACTCAGGATAGTCATTCTAATTATTTTATGTTATTTCATTTCTTGATTCAGGAGTTTTAGCATAAGCCATCATTTCGTATTCTTCAAGTAGCAAATAGTATTAGAACTTTTCGAACCACTTTGTGGTTGGAACAATATTCTGAAATGGGAGTTGAAGACAACATTGAATTATCGGCTTATCCAAATTGTTAACAGCATTTATTTTCCATGAAAATGAGATGCACATTACTTTGCAGGCTCTTGAGAACTGTTCCCAGGAGCAGGCACGGCTAAGAGCCCAGGTGCACCTGCTTGAGACCCGGGTCAAACAGCAACAGATCAAGATCGCGCAGCTTTTACAAGAGAAGGAGGTCCAGCTCCTTGATAAAGGAGATGAAAATAGTGTCGTTGACCTTGGAGGCAAGAGGCAGTATGCAGGTCAGAACTGATTTTTCTTAAGTGTTCAATAACTTACATCATACACCCATTTGCAATGATGGTGCTAGCTGTGCCTTAACTGCAGGTCTTGCTAAAAAGCTTTTCCTATTCCAGTAACAAGCAACATGAAGCATCATATCAATTTTAAATGTCTTCTACCACATTGTATCCTTTTCTCTCTATTATCTCTGCAGGGGAGGTTTAAAATGAATGCTAAGTATCTGAGAATTTCTATAGTTTAATAAGAAGTCAGGACAATAGATTGTTTAAATATCAAATTAAATATCAAAAGTGCAAATGGCAGATAATTGTGAATTTTACATTTGAGCTTTTTTTATTTGTGTATCTTGTTACCTTAATGCATTTTTCTCTCCTGAAATCCTGATATAACTTAGGATGGCAAATAAGGTAATAGAATAAAAGGGCAGGAAAGGAAAAAGAACCAGAATTATTAAGGAAAATAAAAGAGTAGTTTTTACATGTATATTTTATTTTATTTTTTTATTTTTTTATTTTTTTAAAAGATGACCGGTAAGGGGATCTCAACCCTTGACTTGGTGTTGTCAACACCACGCCCAGCCAGTAAGCAAACTGGCCATCCCTATATAGGATCCAAACCCGTGGTCTTGGTGTTATCAGCACTGCACTCTCCCGAGTGAGCCACGGGCCGGCCCTACATGTATATTTTATAGTTTAGTAATTATCCTTTTGATTAAGCCAATATTTACCCCCAGATAACAAATGATCTTAAACTGTGAATTCATTACACATGTCACTGCACAGGTCATTATTCTCTGTAGAAAACTGTCCATTTGACTTCCTCCAGAAGTAAAAGGCATCTTTTAGAGTAAACAAACAATGGTTGCCAGAAACAAAGAGAATGCTATTTAGAGCATTTTGTTCGTATGTCTGCCCTAGAACTACGAAGATATTATAATTTCTGGTTGTGAGTCCATCTTGTCAATTAATAGGGCACTTTGTAAGGTCTGAGATGACATTTAATGGACTTTTACCTTCCTATTGATCATCAGAGTGCCCGGAACATAGTAGATCCTCATTTATGAATGGAAGCAAAGTAGTACATGGAGATAGGAGTAGCAAGATAAACAAATACAAATTAGGAAATATATCTGACTATAATTGAAAGACTGTAGAGACCAAAGAGATGCCAAGCTTGTAAGAATAAAAAGTCCTTTTTTTTTTCTAAATATACTCACCACTGTACAAAATGAGTTGTGTATTAGTCAGGGTTCTCTAGACAGAATCAGTAGGATATGTTATATGTTGCTTTGCCCCACACGGATTTGTCACTCCACTTCCCCTGAGTGACAGAGCCGCAAAGGATTACTCAAAGCCCATCTCTTCTGAGCAGTGAGAAGCCCCAAAGTGGTTAATCTCCCCCGGAACCCTCAAGTGAGAGGCATTCCTTCCATTTGGGAAATTAACCACGAATTGGGGTTCTCTTCCTGCATTTATTCTCCAGACCAAGAAGTTACAGGAAGAGACATGGGGGGGGGGTATTGCTAAGTACCGTTTAACAAGTTTAACAAGAGAAGCTGGTAACATTCAGTAAAAACAAGTCAGATGACATTCCGTTAAACAATTAAGTGATCCACCAACAAAAGCTTGATCTAGCAAACATTCCTTTTCCCTCCAGCAGCTTCCCAGTATCTTTACATATCAATCAGTAACTAGTCTGTCTTTGAGCCAGCAACCTTGCTGTGTTACAAATCTTTATCTTCCACCAGAGACTTTATAGCCTGAGGAAAATTTCTTATCCTTTGCAAGGTCAATATTTGAAACTGCAAGGCTTTGGAAAACCAGGCCCTGTGAAGTACATTTGCTTTATGAATCCTCTAAAGTTATAAATATATGAGAGGAGATTAATTAGGGGAATTAGCTCATGCGATTGTAAAGAAAAGTCCCATGATAGGTCCTCTGCAAACTGGATGCTGGTAGGGTGGCTCAGTCCAAGTCCTGAAGACCTCAAAAGCAAGGAAGCCAACGGTGTCCTTGGTGTAAGCCCTGGAACCCAAAATCTGAAGAGTCTCGAGCTCTGATGTCTATGGACAGGAGAAAAGAGCTGTCTCAGCTCCAGCAGATAGAGAGACTCACATTTTTCCTCTGCTTTTGCTCTCTCTGGGCCCTCAGCTGATTAGATGGTTCCCACCCACATTGAAGGCAGGTCTTTCCCACCCAGTCCACTCAGACTCTCATGCTAATCTCTGCTGGAAACACCCTCATGGACACACCTGAAAAGATAGCTTTCCAGGTTTCTTGGCATTCCTTCATCTAATCAAGTTGACACCTAGAATTAACCTTCACAAGTTGTGAGAACCTTAGAGCCTATGCTTCAGTAAAATGCTCCTTTTTCTCTCCTTACCAAGATGCTAATCTCTTTCTGATCAAACTCCTTACCCTGGGCTTGTGACTCTCTGTTGACCAGTGTCTTGGTCCTTTACCCTCAATTCTTGGAGTCCAACTGCCCTCCCCTGCCTGTAGGGATCAGAGGAAGGCCAGAGCCACTGGCCTGTGGTGGTGGAGATGGGCACAGGGTGAGCATGGCCTGTGGTTCGGGAGTGTGGAACAAAAAGGAACCAGGAACAGCTCACATGAAAACAGGCTTAGGAAAAAGGGACTGTCTGAAGCAGTCCCAGGGGACAAGGAAGCAAGAATTGGACCCAAAAAAGAGAACTACAGTGAAAACTAGTCGAGACAGTGAAAGAAATCTCATGACAGCAATCTAACAGGAAGCAGAATAAGTAGAGATTCCTTGAAGACAGTGATTCTCAGCTGTGTCAACTCATTAGAGTCACCTGGTAACCTTCTAAAATGCCAATGCCTATCAAGAACTGTGAAGGGCCTGAGATTTTACTCTATTTGCAAGCTAACAAGTTAGCCTGCATAGACCCTAGCAGAAGACATGAGATTTCTGGGTCAGAGACACGAATTTTATGCTTGCATCAATGGCCCTTGTCCCCAAATACCAATAGGGCAGTATGGAGTAGCCCAGGTGAAAGACATGCAGTCAGTGGGCTATGTCACAGCTGAGGAACCCTGTGAGTAGGAACCCCCACTTCTTAATAATGGGTTACAAGGGGCCAGCCCGGTGGCGCACTGGAGAGTGCGCTGCTTGGGAGTGCAACAGTGCTCCCACCGAGGGTTTGGATCCCATGTGGAGACCGGTTCCTGCTCACTGGCTGAGCGCGGTGTGGGCGCAACACCGAGGGTTGCGATCCCGTTACCGGTCAGTAAAAAAGACAAAAAGGAAAAAAAAAAAAAAAAGAATGGGTTACAAGGAAATCTGCCCAACCTTTGCCCAAGGGAAAGATGTTATCTTTATTATAGTGGACAGCAAACCTGTTGCCTGCTCCAGGAGGAGACACTATCTTTATCTTCCAAGGCTGTTCACTATAAAACCATCCTTGAAAAAACAAAACACAAGCTCTGCTTGCAAAATGTGCAGAAAAGCAAGTGACCCATGGGGAACTGTCCACAAACTGCTTAGCTTTCACTCCAGACCAATTAAATGAGAATCTCTACAGCTTTGAAAAGGATTTGTGCTTTCACTGTTGGGGATAAGATGGTTCAACACCACCACCAGGTTAGACTTCTCATCAAATTTCTTCCCACAGGCTGAGAAGGGCCAACATTTCTTGGGTCACCTGATAGAAGGCTTCCCTTCTTTCAGGTAGGAGGTGGGATCCTGCAGCAGTTCTTCTGAATAGTACCTTTTCACTGGCTGAGGTCAGGTGTCCAGAAACTTCAGCTACCTATCCTGAAACTGTGGAAAATGTCAATAAGACACAGGTTGGAGGGTAGGATTTCACTGGGTTAATGGAGTCAATCATTATAGATGACAGGATTTATCCACAGAAAAGAATTTTGTGTTCCCTTTCCAGCCCTTTTCACCAAATGTATATGTTGAAACCCTAACCCACATTACCAGTGAATGTGACTCTATTTGGAAGATCAGGCCTTTACAGAGGTGATTCAATTAAAATGAGACCATTAGGATGGGCCCTAATCCAATCTGACTGATGTCCTTATGAGAGAAAATTTGGACACAAAGAGAGGCACCAGGGATACTCACACACAGAGGAAAGGCCATGTGAGGACACAGAGAGAAGGTAGCCATCTGCAAACCAAAAAGAGAGGGCTCACTCAAAACCAACCGAACCTGTTGACACCTTGATCTTGGACTTACGGACTCCAGAGTTGTGAGAACAATTTCTGTTGTTTAAGCCACCCAGTCTGTGGTGTTCTGTTATGGCAGTCCTAGCCCACTAATACACCTTGCATTGCCACAGATAGAAGCTTCTGGCCCAGAAGGCAGTACCTTCACAAAGAAAAGTCACTGGAAGTGTCATTTAGTTGGAGCTCCCCAGGGTTCAGGGCCAATTAGTGAAGTCTCTGTCATTGATCCACTTGAGGGTAACTTAGAGGTTCTTTGGGGAGATCTGCAGTTTGTTCAGAGCTGGTCTGACCAGTGGAATGTCAGTGGGGTCAGGGATGAAAAGAAATAGTAGAGCCAAGATCCACGAATGCTATGGGATAAAATGTTCTCAGTGGAGTGAAGTCTGGGGTAAATTCATCAGTGTTGAGATAAGCACATCAGTTGTCTGTGGGTATTATGAGGTAGGTTACTCAGCTACACACTCCATTCGGTCATTCATCTGGATAGCAGGGAGAGGACAGGTAGATTTTACATTTTGAATGTTGCTTCCTAAGTCCGGGAGACATGTTCGAATGTCCCGGTCAAGGTCATGTGGCTTTAAATGCATGGTGGAGGATGATCTCATTGATGAATAGATTGTCAGTGGCTGGTACAGATGGGGAAGGGATGAAGCATGCCATTTTCAAGAGTGTCTACCACCATCAGGAAAATGTATTTTCCAGGAGATGTTGGTCAATGAAAGATGTCATCCAGCATGATTCCCCCCTCAGGAGCATTTGAGGGTCAACAGAGGATACTGGAAGAACACACCAGCCCACAGAAC